GCAGATGTGTGCAATGCTCCAGTGTGCTTCCAACTGCTCTCATTTGCAACCTTACCTGTGTCAAAGCTAAAAATCTATATAATGGTATTGCTTTAGCTCCACTGGAGTCAAACACAAACTTTGCATGGACTTGAACAGAAACTAGACGTAAACTCAAGGGTTGTTTAAAACTGGCAAACAGAACGGGGTACAAAACTGAACCCTAGAGCTGCAGGCTTTTTCTCCATTAAGATGTGGAGTGGAAAGTAAATTGGTAGCTCTAACAAAAGCTCTAGATTGTTAAATGTTATTTTTTACCTTTTAAATCTGATTAGAAATGTATTTACTCTGTTACTGAGATTATTATCAAAAACTGAGAGTTATGTCGATGGAGTGGAAGAAATATATCTAGCTTTTAGTAGAAGATTAATAATAAACTCTACCATCCCTCCTTCAAACCTAAAATAACTTTTCCAATGCAATGGTTTTTGTTAAAACAAATTCAGTCATAACAAGAAAACGGGTACATATAGGCCTAGAGCTGACTTATTTTGCACAAAAAAAAACCAACCCAAAAAACCAAAAAAAGAGAATACCTTGATTGAATTGTATTATTTATAGGAAATGAAATTGTGTGGTGTCAAAGAAGTGCCTTTTGGTAGGCTATAGCACCAATCTATATAACACTGTGACACTTATTGAAAAGCTATTACCCAATATCTCTTTTTAACTACCCTCTCAATAACTTGTTGTCACCTATAAGAACAATTTTTATCTACACATTGATTTAGTGCAATTCTTATGACTTTAAGATTTGGATTCAACATCTAAATCTGCGGACTACTAGTAATACAGCAATTAGCTTTAAGCTATTGTTTAAATCATTTAATGAAAATAGTGACAAGTTTAACTAAGAGTCTCTTGAGAGATCTGACTCAGAGTCAATAAAAATCCAATGTTACTTCTGATGCCAAGAGCTGATGATCTTCTCTTGTAAGAGGTTAGGGGATTTTTTTCTGATTTATATAGAAGTTGGTGTGAAAGCATCTCTTACAGATTGCACCTGGTTTCTGCTTTGTAGAGGCAGCTGAAAGTTTCTATTACTTGTGATAATAAACACTGAATTTTGTAATTCTGTAAACAAAAAAGACAACCCCACCTTATATAATGTTTGTTGCAAAATGGTAGTTATAGACTTTTTTTTTAATAAATATAAGCATCAGTATTGATGTGGAAAAATATTTTTTGTGACTAATTGACACCAATATGAATTCTGTCTCTGTATAAATTCATTAATAAGATTTTGCAAGCTATGGTGCTTATTTGTTTGGTTTAAAAAAAAAAGTGCCTGTACTTTTAGCTGCCTTTATATCAGTCTGATCCATGTGCAACTGTGTTAGCTGGCATGTTTGTTCACATGAGAGCAAAGTGACTTTGTACAGACTACATTTTATTTTTGAGCTACAGGACAAGTCCATAAACTACCCAAGTCTGGGTGGTGGTGATTTACTCTCAGTGTAGCAGTTTAAGCTGATAAGAAATGATCATTTGTGGAGTCCTTTGTAATTTGTTTAACTCTTTGCATAGATTATGTGCATGCAGCCAGTTTATTTGTTGTAGGAAAGTTTTACTAGCAAGGGAGCTAGATTTCTTTGGTTTCCTTGATTTCAAACTCATAAACTTGAACAGCTGAATGTTTCCTGTGCTTCAAAGTTACCTGTGCAAAAACTAAAAAAACCCCAAAAAACAACAAAACAACAAAAAAACCACAAAAAGAACAACAAAAACAAAAAAACCCCAACCAAACAAAAAATAAAAACCAAAAAAACAAAAAACCAAACAGACCCTCTTGGGTCCCATAGCTATGGGCCAAGGATGGGAAAAGCCTTTTACTTTCTAGTGCGTTAGCACAAGGGTGAGTCTCTGTGAAAGCTTGACAAGAAGATGAATGGTTTTTTTAATAAAGGTTCAAGCAACTGCTTCTTCAATGTTTTTGTCAATTTCATTGAGATATTTCATTAAGATGGTGAGGTTGGTGTTGTTAAGTTTCAGGTTTCTTTGTAATTAAGGAACTTCCAAAATTAGGAAACTTTGAAATTAAATTCTATGGATACAAAACAGGATGCTGTATGACAGCTGCAGTGGAAATTCTCTTACTCTATGACTTGATGGAATGATAAAATTCTCAGTACTTTTTAAAACTTTCATCTTGGCTCTGCAATAGTGGAAAGTGAGAAAATTCAATTTGAAAAAATGAAAATTCTGGAATAAAATTATTTGATAGCAGATTCCCATTACCTTTTTCCACGTAATTCCACATTTAAGAAAGAAGCCTTAAATTGCCTATGAAGAAAAGGTGAAACTTTTTGTACAAAAATCTCTAATGGAAAAAAATTATTTCATAATAGTGTTCTTTAAAAGACATTAAGATTTAGCTCTAGTCAACCTTATAGATGTGTGATAGACATGATTTAGGTGCCTCTGATGAGGCTAAAGTGAAAAAGCTGAAAAAGAGGGTGCAGCCTGGATAGGTCAAGAGACACTGTGTTGGGAATACCGTGGAAGGTCCTTGGTCCTCCCTTCTCTCAGATGGACACTGAAACTGCTGATCTAGCTCACCATGGGAGCAGTTTGCCAGCCTGGACCATGGAACTAGTCTATGCTTTAAAATGATCCTTTTAACACTCCATTCTTTCCCTCTTGGCTTTGCTTTGGAGGACCATGAGGAAGAACAAAAATTGTAGAATTAATCTCTCAGGTAATCTGTGTCTCTATCAGGAATAATCTGTTTTGCATCCTAAATTAAGTTGCCACAGAAATGTTGTTTCTTTCAAACAGCACAAGTAATCTCAGTCTATAGCTAAACACAGTTCATATAGCAGGGTAAGACAAGGCTCTTGTTTGTTTGTTTGTTTTTAAAAGTCTTATAGTTGAAACGAGAGTTTTCTATTCTATTTAATCTAGAAAAATTAAGATGTTTACATCAATTTTTCCCTTTCTGTACGCTGAGAGAGCACTGAAAAGAAACTGTATCGAGGCTTTTGTATATGTTACACCAAAGTAAAATGTACTGTCAGTGCTGTAACTCTGTATCCATTATCTGGCTGTGCCCACTCCCAAAGCAGGGACCTTGAACTCGGGCTGTGCTAGTGCTGGCTGTGTGAGCTGTGTTATGTGAACAATGAGGCCCAGTGATTCGGTACTAAGGAATATAAATGTCATTTTCTCTACTTATCTGGTCCCTGATGCAACAGCCTCAGTCTGGCAGCTGTAAGCAAGGGTGTTTTTCTTACTATTTTCAGGCTGTCCAGCTGAAAGAACAGGCTGGGACCATGGGTTTCCCTGGGCTGCTCTCTCACCTTCTGTATCTGCAGGAGCTTCTTCTTCCACAGGCCATGCCTTCAGCTGACGGAAGCCATGGTCTGTTTCTGTCCAAATCCACTCCTTGCTGGATGAGGGGACATAGTAAACTTCCTAGTGTGAGGAATCCCCCCAATGTTCAAGACTTTAAAACGAGGAAGAGAGCTTGGAGGCATTTTGTTTAATTGGTAATGGCTGTGACAAACCAACTATTTGAATTAACTGTTCTCTTGCCTTGAAGGTTTAACCTGTTTCATTTACCCAGGCAGTAAACCAGAGTCAAAATAATTCCTCAGGTCTCTGCTAAGGTCATGTTATTGTGTCTCTGAAAATACCAGCTGGACAGAGTTGGTACTTTCCTAGGCATTTCTGCTGACTTTGTTTTCAGCTCCCACAGATGTTCAACAGAGGAAAATTCCCCTTTTCTTCGTTTCAATGCTTGAATGTGCTGCTGTTTCTAAAAGAAGAATAAATTACTGTATCATATGCCTGTTACATGTGTTTTAGAATTTTGCTTCTCAGTTGCCATTTTGACACAAAGTTGTAGTTACTTGAGAAATTACAAGTGTCCTAGAAGTAGACAAAAATTTAATAGTCCCAGGTTTGCTTAGAGGAGATGGGAAAGACAGGATGTAATATTTTGAAACACCGGGTAGATCATCCCTCCTTCTAATCAACACATTTTCTTGCAGCTCAGGATGAAGTGAAGCTTTAGTTTGGTAAGATTCAAGCTGCAAGTGTAAATATCTAGGGCATAAAAAAAATAATAAATCATCCCCTTTGCCACAGGAAGATAACAAGCATTTCTCTTCCAAGGAAGCATGCCACAGCAGGACCAATTTGTTTGTAAAGCGTATGGATTGTTTCTTATGGTGTGAACTTTGTTCAAACAGGGGGAAATGGCTTCATGTTGCATCAGTATTGATGTTTTTGAAGCATCTCTCTCATCGGATGATTTGAAAGCATCTCTTTTGACGCTTCCTGCCTCCGAGACCAGCTGCTGGATTTATCTTTATTCTGTAGTAGATGTTTTCTGCTGCCTGTTGCGAGCAAGCTGCCTCCTGCGGACGGCGGAGAGCTCCGAGAGGCACCGCGCCCGGGGCGGGCTGGGGGCTCCGGAGCCGAACAAAGGGGCCGCCAAACCCATGGCCAACAGGTGCTGCGCAAGAAACAAAACTTTTTTTCTGGGATACTACTCGGAGTTGCTAAAGGGGGAGCGATCTCTCGGGGAAGAGGCAAACACCAAAAAATCCCGCAGTCCGGAGAGGGCCGGAGGAGGAGAGGGACAAAGCGGCGGGAGCTCGCAAAAGGCAGCGTGCTTCGGGCACGGCGGGGAGCGTGGCCGCGCACCCGCAGCTCCCCCGGCACCGCCCGGCCCGGCCCGCCCCACCCCACCTGCGGCCGGGCCCAGCCCGCGACCCGCCCCGGGGCCGGTGCGCGGGGGGAGCGCCCGCTTAACCCCTTCCCCGCCGGCGGCTCCGGAAGCGGCGGCGGCGGCCCCGTGGGGCGCTGTGTCCTGCGCCCGGGCGGGGAGGGGTGGCGGCGCGGGGTGGGGGCGAGCGCGGCGCGGGGGGGCGGCGGCGGGAGCCGCTCCCTCCTTGCCCAGCGCGGCCCGGCAGAGGCGGCAGGAGGAGGAGGAGGAGGAGGGCGGCGCAGAGCGCAGACATGGCGGCCAACATGTACCGAGTGGGAGGTATGTGGGGACGCGGCAGCGCCCGCCCGGAGCCCCCCGCGCACGGCCGGGGGAACCCGCCGGGCCGCGGGCGGTGCCGGGGCAGAGAGCGGCGCTCCGGCCCCTCGGGCTGGCGCGGTACGAGCGCGGCGGCCGGGCCCGGTCGGGCGGCGGGAGGCGGCAGCCGGTCCGGCAAAAGGGTCTCCGGGCCCTCCGCGGGGCGGAGGGGGAGGACGCAGGTTCCTCCCCCGCCAGCCCCGTGCGCCGGGTGGGAGCCCGGCCCCCGCCGCCGAGGAGAAGAAGGGCAGCGCCGCCCTCCGCGGGGAAGGGGGGGAGCGGCGCCGCCGGCTGCAGCCCCCGCACCGCGGGCCGGGCACGGCCGCCCTCCGCGCCTCGCCTCCTTCCCCGGAGAGCGGCGCAGGGGCCGGCTGCGGGGCGAGCGAGGGGCCGCGGGGCTGGCCGTGCGCCCCCGGGCCGGGCCAGCCCCGCCGCGGCCTGGCGGGCCCTGCCGGCGCGGTGCGGTGCGGGGCGGTGCGCACGGGCAGCCCCAGCCCTGCCCGGGGCCGCTTCCCTCCGTGCGGCTCCCCTGCCCCCGCGCCCGCCCTCGCTCTCGCGGCGGAGTTTCTCCGCGCCTTCCTTGGTCTGCCGGGATAAATAATTAATCCGGCTGTGTAACCGGGGGATTTCTGTCAGCTTCCCTTGCTTGCCGCCGTGACCCCTGAGGAGCGCCCTGATACGTGACTGCTTGGTGGAGGGCGGGAGGGAGAGGACATTTCGGCGGTGAAAAGCACGGCACACGTTTGTCTTGCCATCCCCAGCCTGTATCGAAAATGACACGGATAACTTTCGCTCACGGAGGGAACGATCGTGGCCGTGTGCCCAGCGCTGTGCCTCAGGTGCACCGCTCAAGTTAGGTGTGCAGTACTGGGTGCTCAAAATTCCCTCTGTCCTCCTGCTCTCTCAACAGCCAGAGCCGAGAGAGAAGATGCGTGGAAATAAGGGGTGATGATAGTTTGAATCCCTTTCTCCAAGTGTTTTGAGATACACTGATAGAGCCACAGATCTTCCATCTGCATGCTCGCTCATTAGGGCGTTTAGATTGTTGTCCCATCAACCTTTACTCATGAAAGTAATGCTTCTCTGAGCAGGTAGTGGGTAGGGTTTGCCTCTTAGGTCACCAATTCTCTTGCTTTTCGTTGTAATCTTAATAAGCAATCGTGAACGCTGTCCAGAATCATATTCTTTCATTGGAACTACCTGAAGTGTCTTTTCATTGTATTGCAGTGTCAAAGTGTTGCAGAAGACTTTTATACTTTGTTATAGTTTTTCATCCGAGTTTTAATAATAAAGTTTGCAAGGTACACGGTGCAGAAGTCTAATATCAAATTTTAGGTGTGGTTGGCATTTGATGGGTACTTTTTCTGCGGACAAGAACAGAAGTTTTCAGAAAACTATTGAAGGAAATGCACTGCGTGTCAATTGCTATGTTACATGGGAGCAGCTTTCAGAATATGAGTAAACTTCCATACACTCGATAACAATTTTTTTATACTAATGCTGGAAGAGACTTTGTCCTGCAAGATCCTTCCTAATCTCATAACAATTTCTGCTTAATATAGTTTTCATCTTAGTGGACAAAGATAACAACAAGAGCAAATATCATAAAACATACATTACTCATTGGGACAACTGTACTGCCACAGCACCTGATAATAAATATGAGGTGTCATCTCTTAGAGAAATATTAGTCTCCATAATATAGGAACTCACTAAAGTACTTAGTTCTTAAATCTTCCCTAATCAATTGTAAGAAGTTGTCCCTTCTCTGTCAAGATTTAGAAAAATTGTGGATTACTGGATTACAGTGTAAACTTCAACACAAAGCATTTAACTTTGTTCCAGCTTGGTTGTTAAAGCAGGTGTAGTGCAGTTATAACCAGAATTTAGGAATAAATTATATTAAATCTCAGCATAGAAATACATCACTGTCCCAACATTTATGAAGATATCTCAGCCCTTTGAAAACTTCTCGGTTTAGAAGAAAATTTTTGCACTAATAATGATACGTCTTCATATAATTTTTGGTATTTCAGTGACTTCTCCTTTTTTCATTGCAGATTATGTTTATTTTGAAAATTCTTCCAGCAATCCATATCTCATTAGGAGAATTGAAGAACTTAACAAGGTACAAATGTCTAAGATTCTTTCTTAAACTTTGGCTACAGTCAGTGTGCTTGTTAAAACCTGAGAATTATTTTCATCCCTTAAGATTTCTACTGTGATAGGGTTTTCTGGTGGTTACTGAAAACGCTCTAATATCCTGTAATTCTGCCCTGTTATCTAAGCAAACACCCAGTTGCTCATTCCTGGTGAACAGGATTAGTCTGCTGCAAAAATTTTTAACTGATTCTGTGGATTCTTGGAGAAATGAATGAATTTGATTCTCTGGCTGACGATGACACTGTGAATCCATCTGGAATGACAGCCATCATGTCATGTGTCTGCTTGTGGATAGACGCCTAAAGAGCTGGAAGGCACCACTGAGACTTTGCAGTGATCCAATAGCAGAATATGTGACTTCTGTGACTGTTTATTGCTCTGCCTATTGGCAGCTGTGAATGAAGAATGGGCTTTTGAATAAAGAGTAAAGACTGTGTGCTCTGTCTTTATCCTGAGTGTATTTTCCTAAAAAACGGATGCTCTATTGTCTGTCATTTTGTGGAAAGCATTATTTTTTTTTTCACTCTTACTTTACTAAGAATAATGTGGAGTTTCTAAATGTATTTTTTTTTTACTTCTTCCTCAAGCAGTATTAAAACTTACTGATTTACTGCATCAAAAGTTAATTGTCAAAATGCTCATCATGATGTAAGTAATAATTAAGATATTTTTTTCTAGTGGTTAGAAAATAAATTAAAAAATTGGTGACCTGAAAGTGGTTTTCTTCTAGTTAATGAAACATAACACTATGCTGTAGCAGACATCAACCACATTAACTGTTAGTGCTGTCCAACACACCATCCCCTGAACTTGTGCATGGCAAATAATTTTTAACTTTTATTGGGGAAGAAATTTTTTTTTTCATGGTAATTGACATGATTCCGATCATGCATTGAATGTAATGTTTATTATTTTTAAACTGCATTGCTATAATTAAATCTTGCTCTTCCAGGGTAGAACAGAATCATGTATTGATTTTTTTTTTTTCCTTGAAGGAAGGGTGGAGGTTGTAGTCCAGACATCTTAAATGTGAATGGTTTGCTTTTATGTGTTAAAGGCATTGAGTAAATGTGGAGATGTTATGTAAATATGTAATGAAAAGCTTTGATTGTTGGCCTACCAGGGGCAATTTTTTTTTTTTGGTAAGAAACGTAATCAACACATTATACTTTTTTGTATCAAATAAGTAACTCAAGGTAAAAAAGTACTTTTGTACCCTTCAAGTAGAAGGATAGATAGAGTTCTTCAAATAGTAGTAAATTCTTTATAGCAGATCATGGTGCCCATAATGAGTCATGAAAACAGCACTGAACTAAATAGCTCCTTTATTTTAGGAGCTGTTTGACTTTTTCAAATAAACCTTTCAAAATTCTTTCAAAAATACTTTTTCAATAAATGTTATATTAAATGAGATTCTGAAAAAGTGCCAGAATACTTTGAAATATACATTTCTCTCTAAAGCTGGATTGTAAAGAGATGTTTGTGAGATTCTGACATTTCTGAAGGATTCTTATGTTAGCATTGCACCTCTGAACACCTGAGTAAAATATAAATCCTGAGGACTCAATAATTGTAGTTAATCCTCTTGTCTGGTCTGAAATTGGTACTGGCCTCTCAAGAAGGTTTTATTTATTGGAGTAATTCTGTTGATTTCAGCTTGACTGATCATGTGAGAACTACTGATATGAGGGAACACTCCAAGCAGAGAGTGTTTAATTTGTATTACTCAGCTGAGGAGGGATACATTCTGACTTGATCTTCTCTCTCTTTTGTAGACTGCCAATGGGAATGTGGAAGCAAAAGTGGTGTGCTTTTACAGGCGAAGAGATATTTCTAACAGCCTTATAATGCTTGCAGATAAGCATGCTAGTAAGTAGATGGTATAGGGAATTTTTTTTTTTACTAACTCAGCCTGCTCAATTTCTGCAACTGCTTAAAATTGCAGGGTTTTTTTTTTGCATGTGAAATATGTATTTATGTTAGGCATTTATTAATATCCAGTTAGTTGCTTAGTATTATCTGATATTTTCCTGCTCCTATTAGTTGCTTTTGGGAATTAAGTTAAGCTGTATCCATGTGATTGAGACTGTTCATCTGGGAAAAAAAAAGAATGTATCTTTTCATCTGGAAGATACAGCTTCATTTCTTTTCTTTTAATGTCAAAAGCAATTCTTGGTTGTAAGTCTATTTAAGCTTAAGAGCACTTGTGATTATTTGATGTGACTTTTTTGAGTTAGATGTAAACATGTATTGCTTAATGTAAAGAATGAAATACTTGAATGAATCTTTGGGGACTGAAAATCACTGGAGATTGTAAAAGAGCTGTTATGTGCACTTATGGTAAATGTAGATATTAGTCAAAAAATAGGGGGTTGGGGTTTTTTCCTTTTTTTTCAGATAAACAACAAGTGCTAATAGGTGAAAAAAGCCCCATTTTTCAACATTAACCTAACTTTTTTGGTATCTGCCGTTTGGTATACAACTGAAATACCATATTGTTCCATAAGTTTTTGATGAAAAATATAATTCTAGAGAGAAAAAATACAATTCTGAAAATATAATTAAGAACCTAAAAATCTGAGATGAAAACAGTAATTTGCAAAATACTCCAATCATATTTGTAAATAACTGAAATGTGAAGTATGTCAACATCCCATAAATTTCTTGCCATATGCTATTAAATACCATTTTGATTATATATTATGCTTGAACTTTCAAAATTAATCTGTGAATAAGTTATGTAGGAGTTATAAATCTCTAATTTATCAGGATGAGTCTCCTGAAAGACATTAGATAATGCCAACTTTTTAGTGCAAATATAGGATGGTGTATTAGGTGCTTTAAAAATAACCTCCAATTTGTTTAATGACCAGCTCTGGTCATTTTGCTCATCTAGGTATGGTTAGTGAAGAGAAACAGCCAAACTTTGGCTATTGTTTTATTCTTTTATTGGTCTTAGAGATGTGGGGGTGGTTTGAGTACATAGTATGAAGTACTAGCTTGGCTTTTATAGGAAGACACTACATCTTCCTTATGTACTAAGAAAATGATTTCATGTTTTTCTTACATAGTTGGATACACTCTATAGTTATTTGTGACCTATTTATGGTCATGATCATCAGCCCCTGCAATCATTAGTCTTTTGAGTTCTTACAGCTGAAATTTATAGAAACATAGAACTTTAGGTGATCTTCACTAAACTTTCTAGTACTTTTTTTTTGTTTTTCTTTTCTAATGAAGGGGCCAAGAAAGTATGAAAAGGATAACAACTTTACTGGAAATACTTTTTTTTTTAAATTTGATTTTTAAAACATGAATCTTGTAAATTTTTTTAGTTGGCTTGTTTTTTAGAAAAGGGTATGTTAGTCCTGTGGGTGTCATTCAACCTGGAAAAGTGAGTAAGATTTTTCTGTTTCCTTTGTGAGTTTTAGATTGCTGTTTGGTCAGCACTTTGGTAGAAAGGATTTGGTGGTGGTCTGTTGCTCTTCTATGGCATACTTAGGGGTTTGTTGGTGTCACTAGGAGTGCCATGGAGTCTTCCATCATGTTTTCTCTACTGGGATTCTCTTGTGGTTTTGTAGTGAGAAAACAGAAATGTGATTTACAGCTGGTTCAACAAACATCTTTAGAATGCCTGTGTCTCCCAGGTTATGAGCCTTCTAACCCATCACCCTTATGAGTTATGTTTCCCTGTGAACGTTTTCTCTGGACACATCTATGGACTCTGTAGTGCCAAATTCTCTTAGGAGATGTTTGTTACAGTTACAGGGGCAGCACATAGTGAAGGATTGCTCTCCTAGAGCTTCCTATAGCTCATAGAGCAGATGTAGTTAAATGTCAAATCAATTTAAAGGCTTTCATTCTGGAATAACACAGTGTTCTGTTTAAAAATATGGTGTGTGTAAACAAAATATTTGTATATTTAGGAATTGAATGTTTTGGAATGTTTTACATAGATAAGAATGTTGACACATCAACACTTCTACCTGGTTTGGTATAAAATAGATGTTAAAAGATACAGGTTTCATAAGGAATGGAAACTCTACTTCAGCCACTGATTTCTCCTGTGTGTCAGTTTGGAGAAGTCTTAAGATCTGCTTCATGTTTTCTAATGATATTTTGTATTGCTAGCATTTTTTTTTCTTTATGATTGAGAAACTGATCTGAGTTATGCATTTCTCGAGATTTTGGTGAGGGTTGGGGTTTTTTTGACTGATTTGTCAGTTTCTGAAGGTTACATTTTGAGATGTAGATATACTCCTATTTACTAAAAAAAGCAAATAGCTTTGTAAGAAAATATTTTGGAACTTTAAAAAGAAATTTTACTTTTTCAGTAACTTGAAAAAAATTCAGAATTATTCTAAAGTATGTTTGGGAAACATGGAATAAAACTGATCTGTGACTTTTTCACTGGTAAGGAGTCAGTATATTGTTTTCCTAGAGTGCTTCTTGTTGTTTTTTGGAGGGGTTGGGTGTTTGTTTGTTTTGTTGATTTTTAAAATGTGGTTGGGGGGTTTTTTTTGGTTTGCTTTTCTTTTAAGTTGTTTTCCAAAATATTTCAAATCTGGGGAGGGAAAACAAATTTTCCTTAGGCTATTTTAAAATGCTCAGGTACAGAGTAGTTCCCTTGTTTTCAAAGAATGTCACTTGTCTGTGAGGAAATCGTATTGCCTTCTATTTTCCCCTGGAAATAAAAGAAGTGTTTCAGGTGAAATTTAATTAAGGAAATTTTTATTTGTCTACCAGCCTCATGTATGACATCAGTTTAGATCTGGGAATAGTTCTAGAAGCTGACTGTAGCCACTTCAATCCGAGGATTTGCAATGTTTTATGGGCACTTGAGGACTCTGTTTTTCACCTTTGATTTATGTTACTATAAAATAGAGTTTATGGTAAGGTCAGCTTGAAATACAAACCAAAATACTGTCCAGGCTCAACTTCCTGATCCTGTGCAGCCTCCTGAGTTTAGTTAGAGAGTTCTTTTGGAGTGTTAACTCTCACCAGCACTTAGGTTGTAGTCATCACTGCAGGGTCACTGTGAGGGGGGCTACTCCTTTCCTGGCATGAAAGAATTGACCAGCAGAGCAAGGCTTACTGTGAAGGGAAAAGAAGGCAGAGAGATGAGCAGACGATGGCTGGCAGTACAAGAGACAGATATTGCAACACATACCCGAGTGTGTGAGCGAGTGAACTCAGAGACCTGGGACAGAAACACTCAGCTCATTAAAATGGGTGAAGCAAACATAAAGGGGTGGCATAGCCATGTTTCCTAACTAAATGGAGTGATTGAGAAATTGCCAGCTGTAGCTGAATCTATAAAATGAAGATGATTCTTTATCTTCAGTAGAATTAATGTAAGTATTTTAGGGCAAGGTTTTAATAGCTGAAGAGAGGAGACTGTATCAGCTTTGTACCAGCACTGGGTTTTGGGTTACAGCAAAGGGCTCGGGTTCTGTATTTCCTTCTTTGCAATAAATTTATCACAGAATCACTGAATATCCTGTATTGCAAGGGACACATGAGGATAATTGGGTTCAACTCCTGTCCTTGCACAGGGACCATTCCAAGAGCCATACCATATCTGAGGTTTATTCACTACTATTTTCTTGAAGCTGAGTGGGGTGACCTGAGTACATGATGCCATTTTTTGCAGTTCTTTGCACTTTAAGTTCTTTATCTGATCATGTGTTATCATGTAATACTATGTCTGAAGTCATTCTCTTATTGCAACTCCTCAGCCAACTTTTGCCTAGTCAGCCATCTGGTGAGGTTATAAAAAAATTACTGTTGTTGGAGTCCTTCATCTTCTGATTTATTAAGAGGGTTTGTTTCATTTAGGTGTGCTGAGATGCTGACTAAATGCCAAGAATATTTCTGGGCCTGTGATAAAGCCCATGGAAAATGTATTTTTTTCTCATTAACACAGCTGATATTCTTTGTGAATGAGACAGTACTTAATTTAAAAAAACTCTGGGATATTTGTTTAATTGACTGAGGTGAAAGGTAAAATGACATTTTTCTAGATTACAGAAGCTGACAAAAATCGTATTCAATTTCAGTTGTTCTTTTTAGAAATCACTTACTGGCTTTACTTCTCTTGTTGCACGTTTTAAAAACCTTTTTTCTTTTGCTCTTAATCAGTCACGTTTCTTGTCACGTTGCTTTGTAAAATGGTGTTTCTGCTACAGAATTTTTGTATATGATAGATATCTAGGAGAAGAGTTGTGCTAGTGATTCCTGGGTAGACAATCATTAGGGTTGGAAAAGACCTCCAAGATCCAGCCTTTGACTGAACACTGCCATGCCCACTAAACTTTATCATCAAATGTTGAAGTCTGTACTCAGTTCTGACCTTTGTATGACATTGATATGTTGAAATGAGAAACAAATCCAGTATTCTCTCTGTACTTTAACTTTTTTGCCTATAAGGCAGTGCTCCTATTAGAAGTTCTTATTAAAGTTGGTGAAAAATATTTAGTATGCCAATATGTTTTTGTAGTTGCCATTAAAAGATCTCAAAACATCTTACAAACACTCATAGTTTATTTTCTATAGAATATCAAGAATGTTCCAGCATTCCTGGAAATGGCTTGATCTTGCAGAGCAGTTTAGCTGCTGCTGAGCCTTCTTACCTTCACTTAAAGGTGCTTTGTATTTGAGGGGAGGAATATTTTGCATATTGTCGATGTTGACTGCCAACACTCCAGATGCATCCGAGACAATGAAGCTGTTAATATTCCATCTGATTTTTGAGAAGCATTTTATTTCAGTAGAGCAGCAGGCTAGCAGGTATCATTGAAGACGTTAAGTAAATGAGCTTAACTTGAGCAGTAGTGTTTAGCAGATTGCTCATTGATGTTCCCAAAGAT